TCAGCTGCCTCGTTTTCAGGTATTCGTGTGTGACCAGGAACCCAGCAGACCCGTACAGTGCCGCCATTGGTATATGAAAATCTCTCCCGTGCCAGCCAGGACTGGGCTAGAGTTTGGAAGGATTCGAAGACCCCTTGAGATGAGCCCGTGAAAGGTGAAAGGAGGCGCGTGGCTACCTCCAGGTTATCTAGACAGACCCAGAGATTGGTAGCGAAGCGAGCAGTACTTAATTTAAGGGCTGCTTTAACTCCAGCTAGAGCTGCTTCAGCTTCCGCATCAAAGACCTCTTTGTTCGGTCCCAGAGAGAAAGAAGACTGCTGAAATAGCATTCCAGATTGATACAGGGCATAACCGCTCCCTGCCATTCCGTTTTCTAGTTTCGAGCCGTCTGTAAAGACCTTTATATCCGTCTGTAGGAGAGAGGCATAGAATCTTCGGAATCTATTGGCTGCCTTCTTCTTGGATATGCCTGTAGGGGCCCTAATTCGCTGTTGAACTGCCTCGCGTGCCTCTTGTGGGAGCCAGGGGGCATTTTGCAGGGGATTTAGTTGTTCAGATTCGGGAAGAGCTAGCACGCGGCGTGCAAAGCGGCTGGTTTGGAAGCCAGTTCGGGTTACCCTTTCTGCTCTCTTGCGGAGAGGATGATAGGGATCAAGACGGCGGAGACGGACTGTAGCAGTAGCAGCTATATAGTCTAGCTCAATCTCTGCTGGTAGAAGCCCTGATTCCCGGTAGAGTGCAGGGATTGGAGTAGTGCGGTAGACTGGAAGAATTGCTCTAGCCCCGGCTAGTATAACTCGGGTTATCTTATCAAGGTAGCTCTGGACCTTATTTGAGATTGTCCTCGTGTCAGGGCCAGGGCGTGTCCGGCCTGGCCACCAGGTTTCTGCTCCGTAGTAGACTCTGCGGAGTACGCAGGCCTTAACAGCTTGCTGTGTAAGGTAAGGCTTGACTCCGCGGACTGTATTGCCCAGAGATCGCAATGCATTTGCAACAATTATAGCTTTGGAAACCATTTCCTTGACGTGATATTTAAAGCTGAGCTTCTTGTCGAAAAGGATTCCCAGCCAGCGAAGGTAGGGGCGTGCTCTGTTCTCTGAAACTGTAACAGATCCCGTTATCACTGGTGGTGTGTGGCTAGGGTCTCGATCAGATATACGTCGCGAGAAGTGTATCAGCTCATATTTATCTGGTGCAAAGGTAATTCCCTGTGCTAGACCCCAGTCCAGGGCTTCCTGTAAGGAAACTGATAGGTTCTGGGCATTCGCCTCTAGAGAAAGAGATGTTGCTAGGAAGGCTCCATCATCTGCGTACCCGAATCTGGCTTTTAGTCTTCCCATCCAGAACAGGGGGACCAGGTAAAGCATAAATAGAATAGGAGATATCGGCGAGCCTTGTGGTAGGCCGCAGATTATCTTAATTCTAGGTCCTAGTTCTCCGTCTAGTTGGATTTGGACCGTACGCCCTGTAACAAAGGAAGCTATCCAGCGGACTAGATTATCGGGCCAACCTTGTGTGCGTAATCTGTGTACCAGTCTGCCAGCAAGAACGCCATCGAATGCCCCTTTGATGTCAAAAGTTAAGAGGGAAGCTGTCTGGCCCTGGTTTAGGGCTTGCTCCACATCATGCAGCAGGCAGGTGGTAAGGTCGACCGCAGACCGAAGAGGTAGGGCCCCAAACTGTTGGCTAGCCAGGACTTTGTTGGAGATAGCAATCCATGCCATATTTCTTGATATCAGGCGTTCAAGGCCTTTGCCTAAGACTGAAAGAAGGGCAATTGGTCTGTACGACCTGGGGTTCGCCCAGTCTGTCTTATTTGGCTTTTGGATGATTGCCAGAATAGCGTGACGGAAACATTGAGGGTGATAACCGGTTGCTAGACAGCCTTGATAGAGTGCTAGCACTCTGTCCTTGATCAGGGGCCATGCTGCCTTTAGTATGCTGGTGGGGAGTTCGTCACTTCCTGGGGTAGTATTGCCTGCATGCAGAATGGCCTTCTCTACCTGCGCCATTGATATATCCGGAAATGGTAAGGATCTAGAAGGAATTGTAGGTGTGTCTAGCGGTATATCTCCTGCCTCAGCAGAGTTCTGGAGGAGATTTCTGGCTAAGATATCACGTTTTTCTGGCGTACCTACTGCCGGGGGGCAATCAGGTTGCAGAGGATCCTTCATTGGTGGGCTCCGGTAGGATCCTGTTGTCCTATGCCACTTAGACATCTCAAATATCTCTTTACTCGTAGTAGTTGCATTGATTTTGTTTCTCCAGTATTCTCGTTGAGCACGTCGAATTACCCGCCGGAAGTCCTTCTTTGTATAGGATCCTGTACGGTATTTCTGAAGAGCTTCCTTGCACTCTGGGTTCCACCATGGTTGGCCTCTTCCCTGAGGGCGGGATCTGAATGCTGAAGCTTCGTACGCACTGTAAACAGCTGAAATAATCATGTTTGCAAGGCAGTCTAGCTCTTCTTCTGTTTCTGAAGTAGATGGGAGGTTGCTGATGTTCAAAGCTAAGTGGCTGCTGAACCGGGAAAGGTCTAGAGTGCTGGATTTAAGCCTTTGTTGGGCCTTAGGATATCGCGGACCCCAAGGGAGGATAGTAAGGAGAGGGCGGTGATCCGATGTAGCATCTAAATGGGTTGCAATTCTAGTATTTGCTCCAGCGAGAGCAAGGGTACTAGAAGCAAAGGTTAGATCAAGAGTATTGCCTTTGTTGTGTGTAGGGGTATCTATCTCAGAGATAAATACTAGTCCAGATCTGTCAAGCCATTCGGATACTAGCTCGGCTGAAG